AATTTTGCGATTATTTTTAATTGTATTTCTTCTCCAGTCATACGGTGTTGAGTGGTGTTTTATGGATAATCTGCTCCTCAGGTTAATGTATCAGGAAATCTAATGAGGAAAATGATCTCATAATATTCAGAACAGAAATGAAAAGTTAAAAGTTGTATGATGTGAAGGTTGAGTTTAAAAAATAAAAGTCATTACACACTTTGTCCACTAGAGGGCAGTGACGTTTGTTTTTCAACACTCAAATGTTCCTGTTTTGGTCACAACTCATAAAAATACATTTAAATGGATTTTTGACAAAAATAAATAAATAAATAAAATAAACTAAAGGTCCACTTACTAGCTTTTTCTGGTGGGATGCGATTGAAAGCTCCATAAAAAGCTAATAAGTGGCACCTTGAGTTAAGATTACAATTATAATAACTACATGATTTGACCAGATCTAGAATGAAATGTCACGCAGTGTAATATAATGATAAATACAAGTAAAACATGTATCATCTGTATGTTATAGCAGCTGTTTTACGATCAGGTTTTTCAAACTTTTAATTGGTATCAGCTTCAAAAGATCCAGTGTCCTGCTCTAATGGATCTTACCAAATGTAAATCAGGAGAGAAACTTTTGCTTTAGTTTGTTCGTGGTTTTGAACAACATCAAACTAATACGTGTGATCCAGAGAGTGATTTATGAAGTCAGTGATGAGGGGATGACGACAGAGAGAGAGAGACGCTGACGTTTAACTGGATGAGAAGGAGATCAAGACTAATTAGAAACAGACAAAGCAGGGGAAAAGAAAACATTTACAGTGGATGATGGAGACAGAAAGAGGAGCAGTGACGGAGGAAAAAATGGAAAGAACATTTTCAGACGGATGGCAGGAGAACAGACGAGTCTCATCCCAGAGTTGCCATCCAATAAATACCTGAGCTGAAAAAAAACGAATACCACAGAAAATATAAATCACTTGTCTTCGACCCGCGAGTGATTTCTGGAGTCGGAGGAATTTTCAGCTCAGGAGCCACGAAACGAGAAGATATTTATTCAGTAAATGGACGTTTTGTCTTAAAGATTTCAGTATTTTAGGAGACCTGGTTTGAATTCCTGAAATATAGAAAAGCAGTGGCACATGAAAATATCAAGCATGATACACGGTCCCTGAACCTGCCATTAGGAGAAGTTTAGACCTGAGACCTATAGTTATAGTTATAAAGTCATCACTGCAACTTCTTCCTCTCTTCCGCTAATCATCTTGTTCCAGCCATTAAATTTCAACCTTCATCGGTGTAACGTCACCGAGCTGCAGCTGCGTCATCTATCAACCTGAAGATCTCCAGCTCTGTGTGTGTGTGTGTGTGTGTGTGTGTGTGTGTGTGTGTGTGTGTCTCATCAGTTCAGATAATAGAAACCCGTTTCATCATTTAAACGCATAAATAGGGGATTTTGATGTGAAGTTTGGATTTCTACGCAACAATGTACCAAACATTCAGACTCTTATCCTGCAGTTAAAGATGAAAAGACAAATAAAAAACTAGGTTAACTTTTATTTTATATTAAATAATGATAAACAGATTGGAAAATAAAAAAGTTTTTCAAACAGTTTATAGGAGAGATGGAGCGTGTGTCGGCATGTGTGGGGGAGAGAAGTTTATTTGGACAAAAATTGTGTCCCATGTTAATTAACTGACTATTTAATTAACTTTACAATTAATTTATATATTAAATTAAAGTTTTTTACTTGTCAGATATAAAAAAAAAAAAACATTTTGTTTCTCTGACTCACAAACATCTGCTGGATGTTAAACTAAATAAACCAAGTTTATGGCTCCGATCAACAAGTTCAGCTGCAAGTTACATTTACAGTGAACAGACCGTTATTTCATTTTTACTGAACCAGATCTGATTAATGATGTTTCCTTCAACAACCTGATTACATAACGTCCATTACATGTAATCAGACATTACACACGTGTGGCGGCCTGCAGAGTGACGTCAGAAGTTCAAAAGGAAAAAATGACTGTATTTCCTGCATTTATATAATCCTATCAGTCTTGTATTCTAATACATCTGGACATCAGGTCTTTCCAAACTAAAAGTAAACAAAAAATTCATGTCGTGTCATTTTCTATGGAACATTTTGTTAATAGAGACGTGACACTTTATGATAAATATTGTATTTGCTTCTGTCCTTTAACGTCTTATCTCGCCTCGACTGACCTTTTTTAGGAAGATTTCAGGGACTGAAATCAAACTGAAAACTGAAAAGTCAGAGGCAAAAATACATTTTTTGAACTTGACGCCCCCCAGTGGAAATGATGCTCTTGTGTAATTTAAATATTTTCAGGGTTTAAACCCTTTGATCTCACAAAAAAAAAAACCCTAAATAAACACAAAATTGTGATGGACATTTTCACTCTTAACATTTTACAGACCGAACAGGGAATTAATCAAACAAGTAATCAACAGATAATTAGGTGCAACCCTTTACTACAGTATGATATTATTATCTTTGTCACGCCTCCGCTCAGGCCGGACTGTGTGTGCAGTGTTTACCTCAGTGACTCTCATGAGCTGCACTTTGATCGCTGGTTCGGGTTCGATTACCGCGCGCTGTGGCTGTAATAATACTCATTACCGGCTTAAGCTAACGACCGTTTCCAGATCAAGGTGGAGGGAATTGCAGGGTGTGATGGCCTCAAGCGCAGAGAGAGTTAACACACACACACACACACACACACACACACACAGAAGAGCAAAAAATACACACACAGCACCAACGCAGCATTTTACGTACAAACACACGACTGTGGAAACAAATAGAGGAATTTGTTGTGAAAATGTTTACAGCTGGAGATGCAGTCGGAGATTAACTAGCTGAACTGTGGAGGCCTTCATTACAGCACACACACACACACACACACACACACACACACACACACACACACACACACACACAGGGAAGAAATTCAAGACTGTTGCACTTGGAGGGAGAGGAGCAGGTCAAAGGGTCAAAGGTCACTGGTCCATCTGACAGTGTTACAGAGGCACTCCTGCGTGACTGTGTTCGTTCATAAAGCTTATTTCTGTTTCTCTCTCTGGATCCACAAAGTAAAAATTCAATAAAACTTTTATATGAAATTTCTTTTATAAATAAACTTTTTCTTGGTTTGTATATATATATATATACAGTATATATATACAGTATATATATATATTCGGAGATGCCTGTGTGTGTATTCATCCTCACCCTCCTCTGTCCTCGGCCGGTGTTATCCAGAAACGTGGGCGACAGCGGTTTGTTCTGGTTTTCAAAAATCGGCGCCGGAGCCACCGAGTTGGCGGAGGGTGACCCGGGACCTCCTCCGCCCGTGATCGACGAGGAGCCGACCAGCGGCTTGTTCCCGTTGAAGAACTGCCGCTTCTCGGCCCGGAAGCGCAGGATGCTGGCCTCCAGGTCCAGGCAGTCGCGCCTGCTCTCCTTCAGGGCGTCCTGCCGCAGCTTGTACGCCCGGTCGTTGGCGATCACCTGGGAGAGGGGGATGCCGAACGCCTTGGGAGCGGATTCTGAAGGAGGAGGGGATGGAAGAGGAGAAAAAGAGGAGACGAGTGAGATACCCGAAGTATCTCAATGCAACACTGATGATACTTTTGAATCTCAAGGCAAAAAAAAAACCTCTAAATTAATTTATTGTTTTAAAAGTTGATGAAACCATCTCTTTATCAAGCGTTTAAGCGTGAGAGAAACACAACAGTTCCCACAACAGAGGAGTGAACACAGCTTCTTTTGTTTTATCAAAGTAGAAAAAAAATCTGGCCTGGATGTCAGAAAAAAATAAATAAATAAAGAAGGGAAGCGAGTGCTTATCAATCTGGCTTAATCCGACGGTCCAGAGAGACATGGTTGCAAACTTTTCCCTGATATGGTAGAAACACTCAAAAGCCCTCAGAAGATGATTCACACGGGAGATGATATAAAAAAAATAACTCCACAGATCCACATTGTTTCATTCTCTTTGCAGTTCATATCCTCAGACCCCAGCCCCGAACTCAGTATCAAGACAAATGAGAAGATTAATAAAGAAATTTAAAAAAAAAGAAAAAGAAAAGAAACTGTCAGTATTATTTATTTCAAGTCTGTGTTAAGTGTTAAATATTTCCTAAATGTGTCCAACATCACATCCGTCATAGAAAATACAAAGTTTCCCGCACTTAAACTAAATCTTCATTTGGACATTTAAGAGCGGAGCAAAGTTTTCATAATTCTTGAAAAACTGTCAAAATCATAAAAAAAAAAAAACATTTAGAACAAGCACTTCTTCTTCTCCAGGAAAAACATTTTTTTTTTAATTTTTATTTATTTTTTTATTATTTTTACAAATAAGTAGATTTAGCGTGACCACGTTGACGCTGTAAATCAGAGGCTGAAGCAGAACTGGAGCCTCGACTTGAGTCTGGTTTTATTTGCAGAACACATTCCTGTCTGCTGATAGCATCTGAACTCCACAACAGGAAGATGGCTCCACTTTCATCTCCACGGTGACAGACTCTTTTTTTTTTTTTGTTCACAGAGAAATGATGGACGAAGTGGAATCACACACACACACACACACACGAAGCCGTGACGTCACAGTTTCAAGTGTATCAGGTGTGTAATGAAGGTTTCGCATATTTATTTAAGTTGTATTCTTGATGTGATATGAAATTGTTTTTTTACATCCACCTCATCGTGTTGTAGTACGAGAGACATGAGGATGATAAATCATAGTGAACACATAATGCATCAAGGAAAGTCACAGTGTTGCCATGGTTATCAATTCATTTATGTTTGCTGTTGCATAATTATACGGATTATCACTTCCTTGATATTAATTCAACGAATTAATGCTCAAAATCACAATCGCTAATCACAAAATCATGTTGATTTGTTTTGCTTTCGCACCCACAAATGAACCCCAACCGGAGACCACCTGAAAACCAGAGGCCTGCACCACGAAGCAAATTCAACATAGCCAGGATAACTTTTTGATATCTGGCTTAACTGAACCAAACTTCGGCTGTCCTGGATAACCTGTTCTACCAAAAGCTGGTTATCAACTGGCTCAGTTGGATTTAACTGTCAGGCTACGATAATAAAAGCACTTAATATGACATGATCCTGCAGGAATGATGAATCTGATTGGTTAGTAGTTGGGGCTGTTGACTGGTTTTGATTTGATCCTCTGAAGTTTCACCTGCTCCGGGGAAAGTAAGGAGTTACCATGGTGATTTACTGAAAATCCAGAGTTCAACCTGAAATTACCTCGATAACCCCAAATCCTGCTTTTGTAGTACGCGCCTCGGGATCTTGTCCTACCTTTTCAGGCTCAGTTCGGTTCTAACTGCCTCATTTATGTTCAGCTACCGCCGAGAAGAGTTGGTGCGACAGACTGAGAGACCAGTATCAGGATAAACGGAGCAGGAGAGATTAAAGTGGATGTGCCTCTGTAAGGGCGGAGAGACCGAGAGTGAAGGAGAGCTGAGCCTGAAGCGGTGGACACATAATGGACTTGATGATGAAATGAACGTGCAACCTCGTTAACTTGGGAACGCAGCGATCGCCACAGCCCTTCACACAGAGATTAGAGGCTCAGGTAGACGAGGGGTATAAGAAGAGACGGGGTGGATGGAGAGCGCAGGCTAGAGAGGGATAACCAGGTAATCCTGTTAGAGCAGCCGCAGTCACAAACCAGACATCACACTCAGACTGATACAGGCTTACTGCGACGCCAGCGGTACAGGCTGCAGGTTGACGCTGTCATCGCAGGGGTTTCGTGGTCGGCAGCTCGGTTAAAGCCGCAAAATCCTTCGCTCTGCTGCGTCACATGACCACAACAATTCGAGCACACGCCTCGATCTGGCACAACCCGCAGTAAAAATCCAGTTAGAGAGGTGAATTAAGGGCATTAAGAACAACAATAACAAAAGCAGTGGCTTGGATTAATGAGCGACAGCAACAATTAAGAGAGCTAATTAGATTGAATCTGCGAGAGAAAACAGACAATCATCTGCAAATATTCGCACACGGCTGCCTGAAGTCTCATAAGTTGGTGAAACGAGCACAACCTAACGCTCTCTGGAAGTAAAAACCTGCAAAGAAAATTAAAAAATGATGAAAAATAAGGGTTGCAGGTTTGATATTTGGAAATCTAATGTTAGATTTGTCCATTACTGATCCCTAAATGTAATTTCTATTTCAACATTGTCCCAAAAACAAATCAACTCGTTTCAAGATTTTTCTCTAGAATTGACGGTATGTTTGGGAAATACATTTACTCTTCTCTCCTTTTAAGTGTGATAAGAAGAACAACACCAACCTCATGTCTGTGTGCGATTGAGCAGGAGTGTGGTTAGCCTAGCTTAGCCTAAAGCACTGGAAACTAAATTATCTTTTGGCCATCTCAGATTTTTTAAACTTATTTTAAGAAAAAAAAAAAAACAACCTTAATATGATTTTTGTGGGGCAGGTTCTGTAACTCTGATCATCCAGTTTAAGGACAAGCTCTTATCCATCCTGCAAACCTGGAATATAAAGTGACTCCTCCACTTTTCACAGCGCCTAAAATACACAGGAATAGACTGGGGTTATAAAAGGCTACTGAGGCATTAGAGTTCACTCTGCATGTGTCACTCACATGCATGAAGCAGGAAACACCGAGCAGATTAATCAGGCTCCGTCTAAACTTAAAATGCTCACATCCAAAGAATCGTGAACCGCCGCGATTGTTTGAATGAAAACACATGGAGGACCAACACACACACACGTGCACACAGTCACACTGAGAGGAGTCCCAAACGGGTCAGACAGCCAAGGCGGACTGGCAGGATGCCCCGTAAAGCTTTAAAGATACGGGATTGACTCATCTTGAAATAACTCACAGGTTGAGTTGAGAGTTTATTCATTACTTACAGTAATGTAACATAAAAAATAATCTTAAATCTTACATTGTGATGCAGGATTTGGTAATTTCAGCATCAAACATCAGTTTGAGATTTATAATCAACTTGTATTAAACATCTCTCGGACAGAATTTCTTGTTGTAAAGTAAATCTGGGAGTGAGCAACTTTCAGCTGCTTGATTTGTGACTGATCGACTCTGACCAGCCCTCATCCACGTGGGCCTCCACCAGGTGCCAGGCTCACGGATAAGCTCCTTATTGGCCGGTTGCCAACTAGCATTAGCTTGTTAGCCACACGTATAAGTTTGCTGGGAGTCACAGAGCTTGAACAAAAAAAAAAAACAAAACAAAAGAGGCTACAAGCAAAAGTCTCTAGCTAATGGCTAACGAGGAAAACAAAACCGGTCACAATTCACTTTTGGCTACTAAGCAGATATTGTAAAACACAATGGCTCATCCAGGTTATGAAACCTGCTCTAAAAGACTCAGACGACCATTATAATGGTCTTTTACTATGTTATGCTCCTTTCTGCCAAATAGTTCCAGCTACTAAAGCAGCCACAGTAACTAAACTAGGGTTAAATTAGGATCTTTAAGTCCCGGTTGTGCATTCCTTGCGTTTCAGCTGCATCTTAAGAGCTGTAAAGATTAGGTTAATTAGTCAGTTAATGAAAAAAAAAAACTAAAACAGTGTTGTCGTTGTTCTCAAAGTAGCTGCTGGCTGCTTTTATGGTAAGTTATTTCTGCTTTATAAAATGACAGATACAACATTTTGTTTCTGCCTGTAATTCGGAAAACGCCTCCCCCAGGGCAGGTAGTGTTTTGAGGGGGCAAAGAAACCAAATATGAACCCAGGTTCTGTGGTAGAAACCCATGGAACAATCCCTTTAGTACAGTACACACCGACCACATATGGCTCCTTCTATATACATATGATGCATGCCAATCTAGACTGGAAACTATGAGGTTAGACATGTGTTTTGTGTCATAATCGTTTCAGTGTGGTGTAACATGGAAACAATACAGCCATACTAACAACATTTATCTCTCATCTTCATCAGCAGCTGCCATTTTTCAACCTTATTTTGATTTAATAACATTAATTATCCTGCTTGCTGCTTATTAAAACGATGAATTATTGCTCTAAAACAAAACAAACACATCACCCCGCGTAACCCCAGGACATTTAAAATACAAAAAAACAACATCCCCTGCCAACTAGAATGCGCTCTTTCCATTGATAGATGTCGTATGCACTGCACTTAATGGCCCAGTTTGATCAGTAAGCCCGTGCTTATTCCTCAGTCTTGACGTCTGTTGGCAGGAACAGCCACGTTTGCTGGCACCTTAATGCCAACGATGACAGTGTTGGCTGCCTGCGCTCGAGGTGTGTGCTTGTTTAAGTAAATAGTTGAGGATTTAATGGCTGGCTGTGGCAGCTTGGAACTGTTGGAAAACACTTATCAGAGCCGGCAGCAGAGCTAATAAGACATTTAGACATTAACAGAGAAATGATGATATAAAATGTAAAGAAAAAAAAGGAGGAAGGTTTGGTCAAAATATTTGCTAGTTTTTGGGTTTATGTTTAAGTATTTACATAACAGCATTATTTATTGATGTAATCAGTTATAATTCTAATTAATCTGATGATCTTTTATTGCTGTTCCTCAATGGGGAATATGGATAAAATCCTGTCCAAGAAGCTGCCTGGTTCTCAGTTGACGGTAAAGCCAATAAGTCAGACAGCAACACAGCTGCATGTGTTTGACTGGTTCATGCCTGATTGTTCAGGAATCTCTCTGCTATTCCTCTTTAATATTTCTCAGGGGAGCGTCTGTTACTGGAAGTCTGAAGGAGATATATTTAGATGCTGTTCAGCACTCGCTCCTATTTTTTTTCTGTCACCACACCAGCAGCTGGATGATAATATTGGTCCTCCAGAGATTTACAAACCTTGTGTTTAGTTAACAGACTGTCCTCTGTGTAAACCCCCCCGGTCCATACACAAAAACAGGAGCAAATTATAGAAAGCTTATAACTTCTAGTTGACCCTTTTTTCCTGAGAATAAAGTCTGAAAACACTAGAGGGAGGCCAAAGCAGCAGATTGAGAGAGGCGGTTTTCAAAGTCTCTCCCCATCACGGTTTGTACGACGCATCATGTCGAGACAGCAATGTGAGAGATCAGTGGGGCGCAGCCAGGAGGAGGAGGAGGAGGAGGAGGAGGATGATGGCAGGCTTTTTGTCTCAAACAGGTACAAACACATGACCTAGTTTGTTTTAAGCAGGTCCTCACCTCTTAACACCACAGGTCGTCCAAATTAAGATTTGGCCCTCGCTCTTTAGCCGCACACACCAACACTGGGTTCTGTGTCCAAGCTGCGACACCACCAGCTGCCTTCAGCCATTTCACCCCCCCAGACTCCTCCCGCATTAGCATTTATATGGAAGTAAATTATTCATGTTCATCAAATATTGTGTATTCTCCAGTTCTGCAAGGAGATTTGAGACCTAAAAGCAGCAACTAAAGAACTAAAACTTGTTAAAAACCTTGATGCACCAAACGGTTGGTTACACAGAACCATCAGGGAAGGTTTCGTTGGAAACCGCTTGGAAAAGGGAAGGCGCTTTCCAATAAATACTTGGCAGGTGATTGGACGAACCATCTGTCTGTTCTATGACGTAGTAAGAGAGCGCCGAAGGGGAAAGACAGCAGATCAACAAGCCGCAGTCTGAGGAGCTTTGAAAGCGAGTTAACGCGTCGGTGGGAGATTCTTGCATCTTTATAAAAAGGAAAATTTGTGCATTTGAAAAGGCGAGTAGTTCCTCCCTCATTGGATGTTGCCTTCATCCATTTATAACCCTAGCACACATCTGAGATCTCAGAGTTATGCACCACAGGAATGCTTTATCAAATCAAGGGCAAAACTGTGTTTTTTCTCATTATTCCTCACAGCCCAACATATTGGCAAACAACAACAACAACAACAACAACAACAAAAACACAATTTCTTCTCCCACACCAACTCCAGCGAGATGACAGTTACCACTATGTAATCCAGTTACATGTAATCTGCTACCTGCTGACCCCTGAAGGCCGCACAGTCATGCCTTCAGTAGTGGGGGAGCAGAGCCAGCAGGAGCGCTGCCAGGTCCCAATGTTCTGTGTTTTGATTAGCAGGGTTGGCTTCAGCTAAGTCCCTGTGTGTAAGAGGCTGGAGGCAGGATTTACAGACCTGCACAGACATCCTGGGAGAGTGTGTGTGTGTATGTGTGTGTGTGTATGTGTGTGTGTGTGTGTTGTGTGTGTTGTGTGTTTTGGCTAGAATCTCGCCCTGCTGTGATAATCACCTGGGAATAGAGAACATCTCTTTATGAGAGGTTGGGGTCACATTGGCAGATGATTGGCCACATGGTGTAGATAGAGAGAAAAAAAGGAGAGGGAGGTAGAGAAAGTAAATTATGATGAAGTATAAAGAGAGGGCGAGAGGGCGAAAGAGTGACAATTAAAACCCAATCACGTCAGCTCTAGTTATGATTGTGCCTTTATTTCCCCCAAAATATTGAAACCTTTGGGGCAGTTGCTTATTTTATTTGGTTGGTAATCAAAGATTGTTGGAATCACAAAAATACAACAGAGCATGTCAAAGAGAGATTAGCCACACTACTTTTTAAAGAAGGAGCCATTTGTAAGGTTTTGCTATTGCTACATAGCCACCGTTAGCATCAACAGCTACTTACAAGTCTTGCCAAGAGCTTCAGCCATCGTTGTGTTTACGTACGTAGTTTGACGCTGATCTCATAGTGTTTCTTCTAGACTGGTAAGTAAACAGCTGTTAATGCTAACGCTAGCTATGTAGCAATAGCAAAACTTACAAATAGCTCCTTTAATCAGTCACTTAAGATGCAATTTCAAGAAGAGTTTGTATTTATCCGATAGCTGGGTTAAAAAACATGAGCAAACAGAGAAATGACATCACTTTAAACAACGTAACTGTAATGAATAAGCTTTTATTTATGGTGCGGTGTGCACGTAAACATGCCCTTCTGAAAGAGCTGTGTTTGCGTCTGTATTGCTGACACAGTGTGACTGTGCAAGAGCTCTACGAGGTTTGTGCCCATTCATTATTTAGTTTATGTTATAACAGCGCAGGAAAGCAGCAGAAACAATGAAACACAAGCTTGACTGAGTGAACCCTGCGTGAGTCAGTCTGCAGGCCTGAGCCTCTTATGTTTTATAAACACAGTATTTCAAGTATGCGAGACCATTAGCGGTAAAAGCCGCTGGACGTCAGTGGCGGTGATGCCGTTTCAATAAGGACAAGGGGCTTTTGTGTTTGGTCATATTTACTGCAGCAAACACCGAGTCTGTGGGTGTCAGGTCATGGAGGAGCGTCATAGGAAAAAAAGAAAAAACACATTCACATGGCAACACGGATTATGAAAGGAGACCAAATGTAGTCAGAGATGGTGTCGTGTTTGACCACATGTGTCGAGTGTATTCATGTTGAACTCACCTCGCTCTTTCTTTTCCTTTGAAAACGAGTCAAACTTCCTGCGCAGAGATTTTCTCCGTTTGCGTATTTCTGGGAGAAAAAAGAAAAGAAAAGAAAAAGTCACCATGAATAAAATTGTTAGTGATGCTCAAGTATGTGCATCACCAACAAACAATGCCCGAACAATGAAGACTGTGTTGTATTCATTCTCTGATGTCTGTCTTTCATTTATTTAGTTATGTAAGTGTGTTTACACCGTTCATGTGTATTTCCATGTGCAGTGCTTGTTAAGATGCCACTAATGAAGGATCGCTGCACAAACACTCAGCTATACATGAAGGAAACATTCATCTCTTGTCCTTTTATCTGCTCTGAATTAACTTAATAAACTCAATCATCTCTTCTTTCTCTCACTCACACACACTCACACACACACACAGCCAATTCAAACCGTCATTACGACCTTTTCTTTCCTCTCTCTTTCAGTTATTATCTTTTGCTTCTGAGTGCTTGTACCTCTTCCTCAGTTCTAAGAATAGCACGGAGCCTTTCAATGGACGAGACCTCGTTGTTTGTTTGAATAGCCCCTTTGCTTAATGGCTGTACCGCCCCAGACATGAAAGACAAAGGGCTTTAGTGTGTATGTGTATGTGTGTGTGTGTGTGTATGGGTTTATGACAAAAGACTGGAGAGAAATACATATAATATTTAAGGGCCTTAAACTAAAAGGGAAAAAAAAAAAATCAACCTTTAAAACATCTGAAATCATCTCTTCCCTTGCACTGAAATGATTTCCAAATGTAATGCTAACCTTTATCAGTACTGAATGAAAAAATAAAGATTTGTGGATAAAGATAACTGTGTATACACAGAAGGCTTAGCTTAGCTATCGTTAGCTTACAGTAGCTATCGTTAGCTCGTCAGGCAGCAGTGAAGCCTCGAATAAATTCAACATTGTCAATTCTTCAATACAGTTTAGGATTAAGCTCAATTTTATATTTTAACACATTACATGTTCGTTCTCATTGGTTTTTAAGTGAATATCCTAAAGTGTCCATGAGAGAGATGCATTAGCTAGAAAGCTAATATTAGCAGCAGCTCAATGCCAGTGGCTCTTTCATTCTTATGTCACAGGCTGTTATGATGTTACTGCTTCATGTGATTAAGCGTAAAATTCAATGCTTTCATCGACTACATGCAAAGAATTTCTCTGTGGGAAAACTAACGCAGGGACACGGGACGCTGTCATGACACCAACAGATGGAAAAATCCCTTTTAGGATGTGTAGTTTTACAAAGACAACCTGTATTCTGAGCTATAAAAATTCAATCTAATTTCACTTGGACTGTGAGAAAACATTCATTCCTGACATGTTGTGCCTCCTTAAAGCCCCTTCAGTCACATGAAGATATTTTCAGTGCAGCAACAGCAAATCTGTGCCTACGTGCTGGTGGTTGACGAATAAGAATGAGTGGGCATCTGTTGCAGCAGCTCTATTGTGCGTCTATGTTTATACTGTGTTTATAGTGTGTGTGTTTTGTTTCGACTCTTTTACTAGCTCTACATCCTCCCCCTCTGACTGGGCTTACGTAGAAGAATCCATTGTTTGGGTTTGTAAAGCTGCTGTTTAGAAATCACTAATTCAAGTTTGGGTCTTTTCCCTATTAACGAACGAGCGGGGCTCCCAACATTGCACAATGTGCCTTGTGAAATAGTTGTGATGCTAAAAAGGTGGGAATTTGTCTCTTTTCCTTCCTTAAAAATTTGCAAAATTTTAAAAAACAAGGGAAAGGAGAAGAAAGTGTGTTTGTGCCCATGTGAATGTGTGTGAATGTGTGTGTGCTGTCAGGATAAAGAGGTCAAATTCCCATGACTACAGGAAATTAAAGTTTATTTCCAAAGCGCTCGGCCCCTCCCACCACACACACGCCACCTCCAGCTGAGCCTGATCTCCTACCGACCGACCGTGTGTGTGTGTACATGTACACACACATATGAACTCAGTGAATGATTACATAATGCACATTCACAGAGAGATAAGATGACAGACAAACACAGAGAGGGAAAACAGACCTGGGGTTTCCAAGTATAAAAGACTCTCAGATATTTCTCCTGCAGTTTTGCATCATTATTTGTTCTTGGCAGAAACCTTCAGATAACTGCATCACGGGCCGATAACAAATTGTACAAAAATGGCGACCAGTCGCCTGAATCCAGCACCCTCCATCTGGCTTTTTTAAAGCCGTTTCACCATGTGCTCAGCTGCTTCTATTTAAAATCAGGTGCATCATTGAATTCCTCAAGCCAAATAGTTCTCCAACCCTAACGACTATAAATTGTAGGGTCGTTTGCCCCGGCCCTCGGATACGGAGCATTTCCTGAATTAGAGATAACTCCACAGATAAACTGCTAAAAACTACAGTGGGAAAATAAAAAGCTAACCTTTTTATGATGTGACAATCCCATGGTAAAGCTTTGGATAGGTTGGTTAGGTGTAAGCAACAATGGCTTGGGCAAAAATAGAGGATGTTCGTTGCCATGGTTACGGTTAAGGTGCCACTAGACTGTCAGATGTCCCTTAACAATAAAATGTAATTATGGGTCATAATCTGCGTCCACAAACGACCCCTAGGGTCATTTTTCTTCTTCAAGCTGCTGTAAGTGTAACTTCTCAGGGAAACCACTGAGGGATTAAAACATATTGGTGTTTAACAACTGAAGAAGTAAAGATTTAAAGAAAAGGAAAGAGAGAAAACAGTAATGAGGTAAAACCCGCATCTTATTAGCTGCAAAAAGACGCTTTATTTAGAGAAAATTTTGGCTCGAAAATTAAGTTTGAAAGCAGAAACCGAAGGAGGGAGAAGGACCCAGTGGAGAGGAGGCAGACTGAGATGAAGATGGATAAAGTGAGAGAAATACAGAAAAGACAGAAAGAAGATCAGAGGAAGAAGAGAGCGAGCTGGTCCCTGCAGAGAGAGATCCAGAGAGTGGGGCATGAGAACGAACCCAGCACCGAACCAAATAAGAGCAAATCTGTCTCATAACAACTGACACATTTCACCAAGAATCCACAGAAACCTGCCAATGAAACACACACTCTCATGCACACAGACGGTTCACTCACACACCAGCACATGATGGAGCCGTGCATGTACATGAATGTAAAGACTGGCATATAAACAAGCGAGCTTGTACAAACAAACCAGGGCGGTTTTATGGCACGGAAGAGAGAAAAAGAGGGAAATGAGAAAGAAGAAAAAGGAGGAGATAAAGAGGAGCAAAAGAGTGAAAGATATGTTTGTGATAGAGAGAAGCGAGGTGAAATTAGAGGAGTGATGAGCCGTGTGGAGAAGGGGAGAGAGAGAGAGAGAGAGAGAGAGAGGAAAAGTCAGAGAAACAGAAGTGGAGAAGAAGAAGAAACCCAGTGGAGACAAAGCAACAGAAACCCGAAACAGGGAGGGGAGGGCGGCGGGAGGTGATGCTGAGACCGTGACAGACCGGGTGGACAGAGGAGATTTCACCCCAGGGGAGAAACTGAGAAAGAAGGTTCCCACACTTACTTACAGAGTCTGCATGCCAGACATTTAAATTATGATCCAACAGTACACAAGAAAATAAACATCTTTTCTGTTATCTGTACTCTTTAAATAAAAAATTAAAAAGACATCACTATAGTATATACAATAGCTACCCTAATTTAGCTATTTTAGGCTATGTTTGCAATGTTCCAAGCTTAAAACTTTAAACATAACTTATTAGATAAAGAGTAAATTAATGAATATTAATGAATATAAAACGTGCAAAAACAGACTTCAGTTACCCTGTTTTAATTGGTTAGCTAAAGCTTGTTAGCAGCAGAGAAAGTCAAGCTAGCCTAAGCTTACTGTTAGCTTACTTCTACCTTTAGCTTACCGCTAGCTTTAGCTTACCGTTGGTGCCAAATCTAAGGTTGTAAGAAGCTGGTTGGTTTATTTATAACAGGTGAATTGTTTTCCTGTGTGTAAAATGTAGGTACACATTTCTTTAAATTGAATTGTAGTGACTATTAGCTCCCCCCTTGCAGATGCTAACCGTTTAGCCTTATTATACATTCATGTTTATGATTGCCGTGGTGAGGGCAGTTGTATCTATGAAAAAATGTTTTTATAGTCGTGCCATTTAACTAACAGACTTAATCTATTAATGTAAGTATTCATATATAAGTATAAACAAATTGGTGAAGCTGCTGTCTATAACTACATAGCACCTAACTGGACAGATGTGGTTATGACTGAGCTTAAATACACTGTCAGCTAGGTTATGCATGCTTATAAATACACACAATACTACTAGGTTTTGTCCTTCAGAGTAAAATACAACATTCCCTTTATGTACTGCACTAATCCTTGTATTATAGTGTATTAGCATCAGAGGTATTGTTAGTTCATTCACTTGTTGGGGAAGAAAATGCAGTTTTCGGTGTTATAAATTAAACTGTCCCACAGTTATCTGCCTCTTTCCATCACCTAACAACTTCACTTCCAATGAAAAGACGGAGGGTATGAGTGTTTGTTTTTTTTACAAGCTCCACATCCTCCCTCTCTGACTGGGTTTACGTGGGCTGAAGCCATGTTTTGGGTCAGTACAGCTGGTGCTTACAAATCGCAACTTCAAGGCGAGGTGTTTTTTCTATTAGGGGAACACATGGCATCCGACACATCCCAGATTTTGAATATAAAAGTTGCAGTCTATGATTTTGATAATGCATGACTCAGAACAAACATTATATAAGATATGATGCAGAGACCATGACTAACTGTTTGGCTCTCCCGGACCATGGAAATCCATGAAATTCTGGCTCCTGAAAACATCTGAACAGGTTGAGTCACGAAGCAGTAAACAGGAAGTGATTTACTCACTTTCCCATGAATTTTACTGTTTAATTCACCCGGGCCTGATGGGAGATGGGGGAAGAGAGAAGAACATGCATGTAGGACAAAAGGTTTCCAGAAAGTGAGGAGAGTAGGGAGGAGCGGGAGTCTCACAGGATGTATGTTGGTCTGAATGTAAACACATCATCATGCCTATGTCACAGGGGTAAAACTGAGAGTTTCTCGGACTGACTAACGGTTCAAATGAACTAATGACTAAAAATAACTCAGGTACGAATTAGCTTTCTTTCATGGCAAAATGCATGGAAAACTTCAAACTTCCCTTTAGCTTGAACCCAGATGTGTTGTAGATGTGCACATCCCATAAAACATAAGCACAAAAAATTACAATAATCATAATCAATCACCATGGAAAAAGGACATATTCAATATAACCTGTAAGTAACCTGTGGACTGCAAGCAGCCTGTGAGCACGGTGTTTTCACACGGCTGATCTTCCTGCCGATGGTTTCACACTAAGAGAAGAAGAAGCTTGCTCACAAGTAAACAATGATGTAAGAAAAAACAAAAAAAAACAAAAAGCCAGTTCCAAGATTTCAAGTGTTTCCCGAGGAAGGAAATGCATTCAGCAGATAAAGATACAAACAAGAGTCAAGTGGAGCGAATGTCTCTACCTCAGCCAAGTATTCAGACTTTTGTGAGATTTAATTAATTAATTTTTTTCATTGAAAGCGTGCAAAACTTTATAGAAGTTTTATTGAGAGGAAAACTTCACAGAGCACCTTGAAACTGCCCTTTGGAGCACGTGGCTTCGAGAAAAAGTTGCAGAAAGTAAAGTGGTTGTTTCCCGCTCTGCAAGTTTTGACCTTGAGGGAATTAAAATCCCCGACTGCTGATGAGGTATAATTGAGCTTGAACTACTCAGAGAGAGAGAGAACAGGAGTATGGGAGAGAGTAGCTGAGTCTGAGAAAAGCAGCTCACATACCAAATGGTCTCATAGGAGAACTACTGACAGATAATTCACACACACCAATCAGCTGTGTTTGTTTCTTGAAATCAGCTTGAAATCTCCGTGACCTCACCGCTCCCTCCAGCCCCATCAAATACGAGAGGAAACCTCCCGGTCTGCGGTCTTTTTTGAGGTGTTTGAAAGATTTACGGTTTGTTAGTGAGACGATCTCACTTTTATTGGCTGGATTTAGTAGTTTAGAGTTCAGATGGGTGAGACGACTGCACATAAACCGTTCCAGTGGCAAGAGGAGGAATGGCTTGTGCAAGTAAACAGCAGCAGAGGGGAAAGTGTTGAGGTTCTTCCTGCTGTTATCAGAGATTAATGAAAGAGCTTCAATGCTTGAGAAATGCCTTCTTCCACACCAGAAAAACAAAAACACTGTTTAAAGCGGCTTAAAATAACCTTAATTTGAGCTCAGCTGCAAAATATTCTTTCATAATAGTTTTATCCGGTTTTTATCTGAACAACTAGCCCCATATTTTTGGGGGGGGGGGGGGGAAAAATGGTCAATGCCGAACTCCACTCAGCATCGTTTCAGTAGTATTTAAGATATCGAGTGAGGCATGTGCATGACTAAACAAGTCATACAGCATCCTTTCTTATCATAACTGACAGCTTGGACAGTTTACACTTGTACTAAATGTTTTTCTTTGACCAAAGAGAGTCGACTGAGAGCGCAGCGCCATTCCTCAGATTCACTGACGGACTGTTATGGCTCCCTCCCAACTGCTGGAGGGTTGACCTCGCCCTCAAGGGCAGTTCAACCTAAGTCTCTGAGGGAGTGGGTTCACCCAGTCAGATCTTCCTTAACTGGCGCCAGGTTGACCATGTCACCGTCAGCTCGCTTCACGATCAAGATAAACCGTCGATAGTCCCATTGATCAAGAAGCATGCGGTATCATCATGGGGTCCTGACTCCAGGCCTTTTGTGCGCATACGAGTGTGTTTCAGTGTTTTAACCCATTATCTACAGACTGTGTACTTTTTGAACCTTCCAAAAGGTTTTGAGAATAAATTCATTTTAATAATCTGTGAAAATCTTGAATCAGCCAAGATGTGAAAGATCTCAAACGATATCAAACACAAAAAGACTGAGAATTACCAAACATGAACATTTTGACCAAAGGCTAATATGAAGTTGGGTATTTCCTGTTTAGGGAAAAGTTGCTCTTTGGCAGCCAAATCCTAAATACCATGAAACTTTGGAAATCATTTTAGGAACACTTACCCCCCCCCCTTATTAAATATATTTACATTTTTCTCGTTTGTGAGACACTTACAAGTGAAATATATGGGAAGCTCAATGCCCCTCTCATGTCTGTAAGCTAAATATGAAGCTATTGCTAGTAGCTGGATATTTTTCTACATTTCTGCTTATAGAGATTGAACAACTTAGTTACTGGAAACACAGTGACCTTTAATAGTTCTGGTAGGTGTATTTTCTAACTAGGGACAGAGCCAGGCTAGCTGTATTCAGTCTTTATGCTAAGCTAAGTTAATTGACTCCAGACTAGCTTGATATTTAACATACAGGCATGAACATGGTATGAATCTTCTCATCTGTCTTTCAGCAAAAAAGCCAAAAGACAAAACTAAAAACATGCAAAAGCATCACTGTATCCACTGTCCTCTCTCGTACCTCTGGGGATGCTGATCTTGACGTCCAGGTCCCGCTCCTCCAGGTGGTACAAGGCGACTTCCTGTAACCTGGCTCGCTCCAGCTCCGACAGGCTCTGGATAGGCACCGGCTGCAACCGCACGCTCTGTCCCAACATGGTCGCCCACGTGTGGTCCCCCTGTCGAGAAGCGAGAGTGGAGGACGACGGGTTAACGAGGAAAGAATGTAAAGATCAAGAAAGGTAGATGGAGGAACAACATTTCTGCTCCCTTACGACGATTTAACCAAAAAACCAAAGCTTAAAAGACAGGATGGAAATCTGCAGCGGCTGTAATCAGTGAACATTATCCATCAACCATCAAGTTAAAAAGGAACCAAAAAAATTCAATTACTAACAGTGACTCACAACCACTCAACTCTGTCCCTGCTTTTAACAAGACCTTGTGCTTTAAGCTACAACATATATCCATCCATTCTGCAGAAGCGAGGAGTCGTAATCACACGGTCAATAACTCTCGATGGCACAGAGCGGCTGAATGCTCTTTGTAAATGTCCAATCAGAGGATCAGAGGGTCAAATGATTCTGTGTTCTTCCAGTTTAATGAATGTCAAGTTTAAGTTTAATAAGAACAAGCTCAAACCTTTTCATTCCCCCTCTGGTGTCACGACATTTTCTTTTACATACAACATTAAAACGACTTGTGCTACGTGTGAATTTCTTTTTCTTTTTAAACACTTTAACCTTTAAAGACTAACAATACACTGCAGGTTTTTTCCCTTTTATTCAGTTTTTAGTTTTCATCATTTTGCCTACGTCTTTATTACTTTCCCCTTTTGTGCCACACTCACTTTTGTCTGTCGTCCCTGAGATTTCTGCACAATGAATGTCTCGTCTAACCTTCCTTTTCAAAAGGGGGGGAGGGTGGGGGGCACTCCACGCATTTATTACATAAGGAGTTTACTTGGCGTATAACAAAGTGCAGCCTTGTCAAGTCTGAGAAAATGATCTTAAAAAAGATGTCATCGGGGTTGTATCAGCTCGAGCTTCGGGCAGAAAGCTGCGGACAGCCGAACGACAGTGGAGATGCATAAAAGGGAAATGTGTAATCTGGTGTTTTTGGAGGATATCTCAGCCTTTGTGCATGTGTATTGAATTATTTGTGTCGCCCCTGTACAGCAGTGAAGAAAACTGAAGAAAAGAATACTTATAATATTACTGAGTTACTGTTAGTGGATGAAACTTTTTTTAGATATTCCCCAGTGGGGAGCTGGAAATTGTGTTTTTCTTCTCTGTGATCTGAAAGAGATGGTTTTGTGTTTTGTTTTGTTTCGAGTGGATGCATTTATCTGGAAATGCTTAGACAGGCTGAGCTCCAGTTAATGAAGTTCCTGAGACTCTGTCGGAGCGGAGCCATGACAGCGGTATAATGTGACCCCCTTTTTCTGTGTGCAGTGATCCAGCTTCCCCATGGAGATTATTCTGGGTTAATCTCAAAATCTTTAAAGTCAGAGTTAATTTTAGGATTTTTTTTTTTTTCCTGCAGTCGCACACAAAAAGCCTGGAGGGTTCAAATGCACCCACACTGTCTTCCATTAGTCCACAGGCACGCACACATAAACCAGCACTGGAGTAGACAGGTAGACTGGGACCAGTATATACACAGCAGTTAACAGGGATAAGGACAGACGGAGTGAATACTGAAGAACAGAGTGAAGCAGGATAACAGAGACGGAATAAGAAGTTTAAATAGAGACTGAAGAAAACAGGAAAAACATCTGAGCCGGAGTGAAAGAGCGAGGGAGTAAAGGCAGCGTGTTTGATGGAGAGATGCAGCCACCACAGGTCAACGAGATCCAGACAAACACACTCCAGATCTGAGGGTCCGGGGCCTCACGACCCGTTCAAGCCATCAGACTGAAATGTGGTTTTAATTTATGCGCGCAGTGCGTTGTGTGGTGAAATCCCTGCACGTAGCCGTTGAGGAAAACAATATATCAAGTCTGAGGAACGTTGCAAAACTCAATTTAGGAAGTGATATTTCCGTCAACAGATGCAGTCGATCCAGTTAATATTCGAGAAGAGGAACCGCCTTTCTGTGAAAGCCAGAAACTATAACACTCAAAACGGTAACGGTGCTGTGGCCAGTGGTGTATTTGTTCTGGTTTGTTAACTGTGCATCCCTAAGTACTGATACAACAACGTGCAGTAGTGAAATATAAGATCATTTTACCTCAAATTGTTACTGTTTTTGGTGAAAAGAACCTGTGCATCATGACAAGGAGCTCCATGTAAACAGAGATCATAAGACGAGAGGGTTAGAAAGCACCGGTTTAATCTTTAGCAACAGATGTGTTTAAGTAAAGTCATCACTGCCCTCCCAGCAGGACAGTCAGTACAGACTCACGCTGTGCAGCCAAACATTTCTCAAACCCACAAACTTTTATTTCCAATTCTAGTGAAGATCACAAAGTTTCCCACGATGCCAAACCCTGCGAGTCAGGCTGAACTTCGAGGAAATACAGGATAAAGTAATGCACAAAACGATGGATGGAGTCTTGAGTTTTGACTGTTTAGAGATCATAAAGCTTCAGTGATTCAAACTGATAAATAATATATAGGCTGCTGTGTGTTATACGGTTAGACAGTGTGGAATAGAACAACAACTAGATGCTAAAAGGGTTTCAACAAAAAACAAACAAACAAAACAAAAACAAAAAACGTTCCCATTATGCAACCTGACAGCTGTGACATCTGTTTTCACACGCCGACTCGTACTCCTCATGACTAGTAAACAAAGCCATCATGAAACGGGGACTGATGCGTTCAAATGCATGGGAAAAGATTGATCGTCGTGAAAGCGTTAGACAATGCTCTGTATTTCCAGAAGAGTCCCACAGGTGCTTTTTGCCACTGTAACTTTCGTATACACTGTTTTTCCTAATAAAAACCACTCCAGGATTTATACTGTACCTGGAATCACAAATTAAAGTCTTACTGTAGCTCTCTGGTTTCTGTCTTTGGCCCCGACGGATGTTTTCCAGACTATGAGAACGACATGTAGGAGTTCTTATACTGATCTATGTTCCCCTACATGGCCTTAATACACAGGAAAATGCTGAAACAGTGGAGGACAATTTGGGCAGAATGAGTTTATAATATAAAATCCTTAAACAAATCTGTAGAGACTCTCAGCACATAGGGCACACAGGAGGAGATTTTCAGTCTTCATCTCCACCTCAGCAAGTCCCCGTGGATGTATACTTCCACATGTGTGCGACTGTCTCACGTCTATAATGGGGATTGGGGTAAAATCGGCCTCGGCCTTAATGCTTAACGTCACCAGACCAACGGACTGTGGTGACACTGGATTAAAGTTACCCACAGAGGCTGGGGAGGCCTCGTCTGGCCGAGGGTTAGCGCTGACATTTAGCCAAAGTGTCATGACGCCTTGGTCAGGCTAAGAGAAAGTGAACCTATGCATTAGCTGGTTTATTTTCTCTCTCTCTCTCTCGGTGTAACAGATGTACAGATCCATGCCCTGGATCAAAATAAGATATTCGTCACCGCACAGATTTGGTTTTAAAAATGCCAGGGGTAAGAACTGACATTTAGAATAAGATGACTCATCGTCGGTCTGTTTAGACAAAGTAAACCTTTGCATCATCTCATGTATTTTTTCCTCTCAGTAACAGATTTGCGCCTACGTGTGCCAACGATGTAAACTGGCAGAATGTAAGTCTGTTTACTTTCTGTTGATGTCAGCGTGCAGTCACACGCTGATTCACAAACTGAAACACTTTGCATGCCAATTCTTCTTCTTCTTTTTTAGCTAACTGCGCACACAATATTTGCTTTAATAATATTCTGTAAGAGTCCAGATTATTAGAGCTCCCAACTTCTTTTCTTTCCAAACAAGAGTTGCACAACAGGGCGCCCTGGGAACTACTTTATCAAATTGTCCAACAACACAGGACTACTTAGAGGACGGCCTGGTGAAGCTGGAAACTCAAATTTCTCACGTTAGGAAAACACTCAACTCTCCAGATGATGCTCGAACAGACGGGCCTTTCATGATCCCCGCTGCGAGCTCCAACTTCCACCCTCCGTCACAGGATATCAAGTCACCATGTAGATGATATCGCTTTGTACCTCGATGCATGAACTGTTTCTGGAACTTAAGTGTGAGACAAATTTCCACACAGGGAATTTAGAGTATTTCCTACTCCTGTACAGTTTTACCGCACAGCAACTCAAATTCTACGTTCAACACAAGATCTCAAATGATCAGACACTTCTATGTCGTCTACTTCTACAACATTCACCTTCTTTAACCCAACCACACGTTCTTCATGAGGCGTCAGGCCATCGGTCATGAATGCATGCAGAACAGATCCATCAGCCATCAGCTATCCTGTTGATACGCTGCGATCAGTCACTTGTGCCGAGTCACCCTTGCTTCAGATATAATGGATTCGCTTTACTTATGTGTGGATAATGTGCCGCGTCCAGCGTTGTCTGGCTCCTTTGTTGAGTTTTTTTTAATGGTGAAAAACATTTCAACACTTTAATACCCACACTACACCAAGACTGTGGAGATGCGATACATTTTTTGGCCACACTGGTGTGGTTTGTGAAAGCCCGCCCTGACTCTCGGGGGACTCTGAAGAGTAGATTCAACAATCTGGAGTCCGGATCCGTCTCCCTCTTTAGATTTTCTGTCCCCTTGTGTGGCTTTAGTCAATACCAGGAACTAGGGAGGGGAGACAATTAAAACCGCATGACAGACAAACCACACAGGAACGGACGGAGGAAAGGGGAGTACAATGAACCAGAACTACACTTCACAGAAACATATGCATTTCTGTGAGCTTGAGAAAGACGTGGTTACATTCGAGTCCTTGAGATAACGAGGCAATTGCTATGTTAACTGATGTCTCATTTACGCACGACCACAGAATCTGATTCTCCTGATGACCTGGCCATCTAGAAAAGTGGCCTAGAAATTAAGTTAAGTCGTCCAGGAGTAGTTCCAGAAGTTCAAGTGCAACTCATTTACCACATAGCCCCCCCCCCCCGTATGAGCACTTCCCAAGCCGCGACCGACCGTGATAATCTTGTGGTTGTATCATCAGCACGAAAAGATGAACAACTGCATTTGAAAGAAAAGGATGGGGACA